TCAATGGTGATATTACAGAGGCGATTTAAAAAATATATTGTATAATGAAGTGTATCAACAGTTGGATGATTTGCATAAGTGAATCAACATTTTCCAAATAATCAGTGCATGATGTTACAAAATCATGGGTAAAATGTGCACTCAAAGTATGAGATAGTGAAGGAATTTTAATGTAAGAGTACAGAGAGTTCACTGATATGGTTTCAGACTCCACAATGGAACTAGACTTGAAGAGACTACCACTTATCAAGTTTGATATTATATTAAAGAAGAATTTGGAAAACTCTCTTAAAAGGCTTTTATACTCGCCCCACCCCCATGCCCCATTACCAGCACATGTCCATGTGAGGACATATTTCCTTCATATACTTCAAACATAACATATTGATGGAATGCAGAAACAGGTATAACAATCTTCCAGTTGCTCTGGCTGGTGTGGTTCAGTGGACTGAGCACTGAGCTGCAAACCGAAAGGTCACTGGTTCAATTCCCACTTAGGGCACATGCCTTTGTTGTATGCCAAGTCCCCAGCTGGGGGTACACAAGAGGCAACTGATCTCTCACGCACTGAGAAGAGGCAATGTATATCTCAAGCACTGGTGTTTCTCTCCCTCTTTCTCGCTCCCTTTTCTTTTCTCTCTAAAAATAAATAAATGAATCTTTTTTTTTTTAAATCTCCCAGTCTTCTATTAAGACAGACATGAAAGAGGTTTGCAAAAATGTTAAATAATGCTATTCTTCTCATTAATAATTTTTGTTTTAGAAAGTACAGATTTTTCCTAAAATGTGTTAATGTTAGTATGCGATGGGTTTTTTATTTCTAAACAAATTAATAAATATTTTTAAGTTTCTCAGAGTGATAGAGAGTCCTAAGACCCAAAGCTTTCAGCAACACCATCTTGAAAGAATGGTGGGAGGAAGCCGAAGGAGAAGTGAAATAAGTCACCTGTGGGCGGAGGGTAATTTAATCTGAATCTGCAGAAAAGGCGAGGAAGTTTGAGACAGTAGGAGGCTGCTGGGAACTATAGACTTCCTGGGTTCCTCGTAAGTCCTTCTTCTCAGACATCCTTCCTCATTGCTGGCTGTTTGAGCAGAGGCTTTCTTACCTGGAGGCGACTAGCCCTCAAGCTGTCCTCCTTGCGCCAGACCCATGCACTGTAGCCACGCGTGCAGGAAGCAGCACCTCGCTGACGGCCTCCAGGCTTCCAGGCACCGTGGGCCTCCGCTGGTACAGCAGTGCCTACAGGGGACAGACAGGACCTGATACCAGACCCATGTTCAGTCTCAGGGTGGCCTATGAGTCACAGCAGGTGGCAGTCTTTAGAAGCGTGCGCACACACACACTAAAACGTAGTTCCTAGGGGCACCTCTGAGTTCTGCTGTCCTAGAAGAACAGAGGGATTATCTTGCTGACCGGCTATTTTCAACCTCTTTCACCTCATGGCACCTGTGAACTGCTGTATTTTGCTGTGTATAATGCACCTCTTTTGCTCAAATTTTTGAGGGAAAATAAGGGTGTGCATTATACATGGGTAGTACTAATTCCATATGGAAATATCTTGTGTCTGTCACCGGCACATAAAATTTCTTGTACCATTTATCTGTTCTTGTGTTTTGTATTTGTTACATAAAATTTCCTCTACCATAATATGTTCAAAAATAAATGCTAAAAACCCTTTATAATATAAAAAACAAGTATCTAAATATAAATAAATAACTGAATTAAAGAATTGAAAGATTTTTTTTCTGAAAGTTTGGGCCAAAAATGTGGTTGTGTATTATACATGGCAAAATATGGGGTAATTACTAAAATTCTGCAGCACACCAAAAAAATATTTTTGCCAGTGACAAAAAATTAGGTATAATTTTGATTCATTCACACTAGATGGCTATTGTTGTGTTGTCTGTTGTCATTTTTTTAATTTGACAATTTAAGGAAAGAGAGGTCCGTGCCTGACTAAATAGTCAGGCAGTGTATGTTTTAAAAATTCTGATGGCACATCAGTTGAAAATCACTGTTAACTGACAAATGAAAGCAGAGAAGTACTGGATGTCTTTCCTTTGTCCCATCAGATACACCCCCTGCCCTTCTCTTCCCTGCTCTGTCCCGGAGATTGGTATGTGTGGGCCAGCTCAACAGACTGCCCACGTCTCTGTCTTCCAGGTGGGTTTGGCCATTGGGGTTCAGTTGCTAGCAGGAGATCAGCGGGCAAGAGACTGGGGGGAGCTGGGGTGGGGCATCACCTATTCTTCTGATTCCCTACCAGTTGAGTCAACAAGGGGTGTCTCTCTTACTAAGACATCTCTATACATACATGGTTTGCTCTCGCGGTCTCTTTCTCACACACACCCCCCCTTATAAAGGCTCCCTCCCATCACCTACCCCTCAGTTACTGGGACTAACACACTGCCCCTTGTTGTTTTAACTAACCCCACCTGCATATTTGTAAATAGTCCCCTTGTTAAACCTTTTGCAAATGACCCAACTTGAGGCTGTTGTTTCTTCGCACCACCTTGACTAATTCACCAAATTTGAGGCCCTTGGACATATTTTGGGAGGGGGAATCTTGGGAGAAAAACCAGACTTTCTGCTGCTTCAAACCCATTTTGATTTGAACATTGAAAGAAAGGAGAACTAAATCTTGCCAGAGCTGGTAAAGCAGAGCACAAGTTATGGCATTTGCTTACACAGCTTCCCCTACCTGCCTGTGAGCACCTGGAGAGTAAGGGTCATCTCTTAAGTCCTGCAGGAGGTAGATGTTCAAGAAATGGTCACTGGTCATAACTGAACTGTAAGGTCTTAAGACGAGTCACCTCCTCACTGCAGATCTCAATTTCTTTTTCTGCAAAAACCCTATCCAGGAACACTGAATTCTCTCACCCACTCTGGCCAAGGAGGAAAAACAAAGCCAGTGCAAGGGTAATTGAAATATGTCAGCTTTATTGTTTCAAGGATGCCAAGTAATATGAACTTGGGTAACAAAGGAGACTAAGCAAAATGTTGTAAAAAGTGCTTGTAATTAAATATTTATTTACTTTTAATCACCCTTGATCATTGAAGCAGGAGATTCATCTCCATGTCTCTTGCATGATCCAAGTGCAGCATTTACAATGTCTTGAGGGATACCACGTGATCTTAGGATGGCCCACTGCTCATCAGTCAATGCTGACTGCCCTGTTTTCTTGAGCTTCCTGCAAAAGGCATCTCGGAGTTCTGTTTCTGGTATTCTACCCAGGATAGGACAACCTTGCCAGTAATTCTTCATGGTGGCACTCACCTCTGATGCATGATAAAAGTTTTTTGGAGCTGAAGAAAGTTTTGGGAAGGCAGATGGGGACACCATGGCAGCCTCTGGGTGACGTGTAGCCTTGGCATATAGAAGCCGGCTGGGTCCAACTTCTTGCTCCAAGTGTCTCCAAGCCTCAAAAAATTTCAGTATCTCATCTATAACTCCAGGTATTAGAATAAGTCAACTTCCTTGGGTAATGCATTGAAGGCCATAAGGGATGTCATCTTTGCTGCTTTGGCTACCTTGTGAACATGGACCATAAACAGTTGGGCTACACCACCAAACTTTGTGGACAAATATTAATTAGCATATGATGGGACCAGTTGTTAGTGGCTATATGTGCTACATATGATGATGTTTCTAATGAGAAATAATTTGCATGCATGATGATCAGGCCAGCTGCTGTCTCAAATGCATTAAACCAGTTTTCTATGACTCTTCTGTGTGAATCATCTCTGGAGTCTCGATACAAAGCCACTAGTATGTGCACAGTGGTGCAGTAGATGAGGCAATGAGGTGCACCATCAGGTATGGCTGCGATCCTACTTGAACTAAATTAACATCCTGTGAGCAGTCATGATACAACCAAACCATCCTGCCTCTTGAGATGGCTCTCAATTTAAAAAACGGACTTAATGCAAGAACCACACTGCATAGTATGGTTGTCACACAGTGAATGAAGAGTGTTTTTGTCAAAGGTCATCATTATATAGGGTGAGAAGAGCAGGAACATTCCCCCCAGTAACAGGTGGTGCAACATGTTCACCTTGTAGACCAATAACAGGGAGACTTTCCACAAAAGCTTCTGGCCCAACGCCCTGATTCCTCACTGTATACCGCGGGTGTCAAGTGTTCACGTAAGCAGGTTAGATCCTGTAATCAAATATTTTAAATGGCATACAATTAACATTGTTTTACAGCAAATGGGCCCTTCAAAGAGGTGCTCTTTCCCCTTAAGTAATTTACCAAAGAACAGGTGCAGATGAAATAGCAGAGGACTCCAGCCATGACATGTACTACTATGGTCTTATCTATATATTTGACATAAAAGATGTCTGCCTCACATTATTGTGACGAATTGCCAGATTACAAAACACTATGTATAGCACGATCCCAATTTCATAAAATATTCATACCCATCTACCTATATGAGAAGGGGAATCATTCAGGAAATAGAAACTTATTGACACATGGTGTTGGAAAGTGTGAACTTATTACCTGCTTTTTCTTTTTACAATAATATTTTTCATTTTTAATTAACTGATTGATTTTTTCTTTTTAGACAGGAGGAGAGTGGGAGAGGGAGACAGCAGTTCGTTGTTCCGTCCATCTGCGCGTTCACCGGTTGATTCCTGCTTGCTCCCCAACAGGGATCGAACCCGCAAACGTTGGCTTACTGGGATGATGCTCCAACTGAGCTACCTGGCCAGGGAGGGCTACCATCACATTTTAAATAAATCAAATCTGTTTCCATTTGGTGTTCGTGGAGCAGGAGCCTTTGGCCTTGGAACGCGAGGCCCCAGCAGCTGAGGGGGACCCAGAGGTCGGCAGGTGGCTTCCCGCCCCCTGTCTCCCAGCCCCGCAGTTTTCTCTTACCCACCTAAGCAGACTTGGGTTTAGCCAGGGACACTGTAGCAGATACGGCTCGTGGTGACCTCGTGCTGCTCCGCCCTCCGTGCCGGAGAAGGCGGGGCGGACGGGCCCCGGAAGCAGCGAGAAGAAGCCGGACTGAGTCCATGGCGTCGCCCCCTGCGCTGCTGGTGATGGGCGTGAGCGGCTCGGGAAAGTAGGTCCGGGAGGGCCGGGGACGCGCGGGACGCCCGGGAGGAGACGGCGCGAGACGGCGGAGGCCAAACCCGTCTCCGTTCCTTGCGCGCGGCCACCAGTAGGCCCCGGGAACCCTCCTCCGCTTTGTAGTAAACTGAGGCTTGGGGCACCTGCTCCGTTTCCACCCTCCAACGTGCTCGCCCCGGGGCACCTGGCGCGGCACCACATCTGAGATCTGGGGTCTTCGTGCATCTACAGAGAAGCCATTTGTAAAGAGGCGCCTGCCGGGGCACCTGGAGCAGCTGGGGCGGTCACAAATGCCCGCGTTTCGGGGGAGTGGGGGTGGGGACAGAACGAGGTGGAGGGTGCAAAGGCCGAAGCGCATAGGCAAACCTGCTCCCAAGTTCCTGCAGACCTTTGTCAGGCTGGGCAGAGCGGCAGCTCCCTCCTGCGAGGCCTGGGGCTTTCTGATTAGATTTTGGAACGTGAATTTCACCTTGTTTCCCCGTCTTTGATCAGTGTTTATCAGCTACAGCTGGAAAAAGTCAGCGTTAATACTGAGGGAGGCCTCTGAGGGCTTGTGAGGCAGGAGGAACACTGGCTACCCCAAAGCCTCTACCCGGATGTCTGGCCAGCTTGGGGGCTGGGAGCGCTGCCCTTTTTTTGGCTTCTTGATTAGACCAAAATCGAACTTTGTCCTCCATCAGGAAAGACATCTTCTGCAGCCTTCCACCTGAGGCAGCAAGAGACAGAGCTTAACTAAAATATCATAACCTTCAAAGGCCCACAGTATTCTGAGTCAGGAACTGCCCGTGTGGTCAGGTGTATATTATAGACTCTTTCTTGCCCCAGGTGGGCAGGTTTAGCTTTCTAAAATTATTTAGCCTCAAATCTTGAGAAATTAAAATAATTTGGGGAATCTTAACTGAGATGAAAATAAAACATGTTGGCCAAGACTCCCTAACTGATGTATGAGTTAAAGAAGTTGAGAATGTAAGACTGGCGTGATGTAATGGGAGCCCTAGGTCTTGGTCCTACTGCTGCTTGATCGTGTGAGTTTGGACAGTACCCTTCTCTGCCTTGGATGAGATGAGGGGGTCCCGAACCAGATCATTTATACAGTTATAATTACGGTTATGATAGTCATGTACTCAGTAAATATTTATTGAACTCAGTCCTTAGTCTTTGTTGCTGACTTGACACAATGATCAGGCCAGATAAAATCCCTGCCCTCAAAGAGATTGCATTCTAGTGTGGGAGACAAGCAGTAAGGGAATAAACATATGAATAGTGTGCCAGGTGGTGGTAGGTGCTCTAGAGGGAAATAAGGGAGGGCAAGTGGAACAAAGCGCCGGGCAGAGTGGTCCAGGAAAACTCCTCAGAGGAAGCAGTATTTGACCAAGACCCACAAGAAACGAGGGAATAAGCCACATTCATTGATAGCTGGAGCAAGGGCACAGTAGGCAGGGGAGACGGCAAGTGCAAAGACCCTGAGGCTTTTTTCCTTCGTGGACCAGCAAGGAAGCCATTGTGGCCACGTGGCGGGAGGTGAGGTCGGAGGAACAATGCAGGTGAAGAAAAGTGGTCATGTGCTGGAAGTATTTTGAAGGTAGAGACAAAAAGATGTGTTGATGGACTGGATGTAGGGTATGAGAGGAAGGAAGGAGTCAAGGATGATTTCAGGATTTAATTGGTTCCATTATTAATTATTTTTCTCAAAAAATAAACATCTATAGAACAGTGTCAAAAAAACCTAAGGAGTTCAATGAGATCTTACATATTGCTTTTGGGGGAGAAAAATTACTGGTAACTGGGCCATTAAGTCATTTAAATTCCTCCAGGAAACTAAAGTCAGGCTCTAGACTCCAGGGTCAAGAGCATCACTCTCGCTCCTTCAACATCAAAAAATTATTAGTGTTTTAATACCAGCAGGGCAGCCACTCTTGGAGAGAAGGAGGCACCGTGTAGGTTAGTGAAGAGCAGTTGTTTGAACACCTGTGTCCTTTCCGCAGATCGACCGTGGGCGCCCTGCTGGCATCCGAGGTAACTCGCCCCAAAGACCCCCACTTAAAGTACCATTGTATTGTCTCCTTACTTCTCTCCCTTTGCCCACCCTGTCTTCTGGTCTGTAGTAGTTTGTAAAGCTCACCACAGCACCTCCACAAGGTTTGTGAAAACCACTGGAGTGATTCTTTCTCTTTGGTGATTACGAACAGTGATGAATGAAAAAAAGGAGCTGCAGCAGCCCGTGAGCAGGGATCTTAAAGTGGCATCCTAGACATCCTGCACCTGGGGGCCATCCTCGGGCTGCTGGTGGTGAACCGCTGGCGGGGTGGGCCATACTGCCTGCCACATACACCCTTTCACTTTGTTCTTAAAGCTAGGATGGAAATTCTATGATGCAGATGACTACCACCCAGAAGAAAATAAAATAAAGATGAGAAAAGGGATCCCGCTGAATGACCAGGTAATGTTCGCTGTTTCCAACGCAGATATTCCAGCTGAGTGATGCAGGTTGAGATCTTTGCAGTGCCTGGGACACTTCAGCTCCTGAGTCTTGATAGAACTCATGGACAGTGTTCCCCAAGACAGGCACATAGTGGGGCCTCGGCGAATGTTAGGTTTGGCCCTGAACTTCTCTTACCTCAGCATCAGAAGCGATGCACCTACTCTCTGCCCCAGCTTGGGCAGGGTCTGCCAGAACACTTGGTTGAAGAACTTTAATGTGCAGAATGTAATCCCTGAGAGGACCTCATCAGCCTGCAGCATCACCAGGCTCTGGCGTCCACCCCAAGCCAAACTGATCTTTGCAGATTCAAACCTGGCCCTTTGGAAGTTTTCCGCCAATCAGTCTCAGGGTCAGTTCCAAATACCTAAATGCCTAATCGTGCGTGGTTAGGCCAGAATGACCTTGACCCACTCCACTCTCCTGAGTTGTAGTGCACTCCCTCCCGCTCTCCCCTGGAGCCACCATGGCCCCTCCCTTTCAGCTCCTCCTGCCCTGCTCCTTCCCAGGGCCTTTGGGTCTGCTGGGCCACTGCCTGGAATGTGCTTCCTTCACCTGGCCACCAGGTTAGCCCTGCTCGCTCTTCACATCCCAGCTCCTGTGCCACTTGTACAAGGAAGCCCCTCTGACCTACTTAAGTAAAACCTCATATAATAAACTCCTGTGGCGACATATCCCTTATTGCCCATGTCCCAGCTGCAACTTGGCATTTGATGATGTGAGAGTTTGATTAATATTTATCTATGCAACTAGATTTTATCTCCAAAAGGTCAGGGACTGTGGTCATTTGTGTTAGCTATTGTACATGCCCAGGTCCTGATACAGAGGAAATGTCAGAGAATATTTGTGGCAGATAGGAGTTTAAATGAATGAATGGGAGAAGGAATGAATGAATAGCCCTTTATTTGTATATGCACCATCATGAGGCCATTTCCTAGAGGTCTCTCTCCAGCCAGACTTACAAACTGCGTTCATTGGCTAAACTAGCTGTAGCCCAGGAGACACTGTGATGCCAGGGTCAAGGTCTGGGTTCACAGAGCAGGGGCCCCAGCCGTGCCCACATGCCAGGCATGCCCAAAGGACAGGACCGAATGGAACTGGCCAAAGACCAGCGCTGTTGTTTTCACTTTCTGTGAACTTGGCTCACACCCAGTTGTGCCCCCAATATCTCACTCTTCCCTTTGTTATGCCTTGAAGAGCTTGAGTCACTAAACCATTAATTAGTAGGTCTAGCTCTATAGCATTCAAAGGGTGCACCTCTCTGTTTCAGGGTCTGCAGCTTGAGTTTGCAATGATTCAAGCCTTCAACTGTCAAAATTAAGTTTGCAAACTTGACTTTAGAAGATAGAAGGGGTAAACCATAGAAGATAATTTAAATGTATAATACCCATATTATAGTAGAGATAATAGGCATAATGTAGGTAACTGAGCTCTACCTCTAAGCTTGTGTGACCTTTGGCAAATGGGTTAGTCCCTCTGCACCTCATTTTCCTCCCCTGAAATAGGAATTGTACCATTTCATTGGGTTCTTGGCAGGATTAAATGAAATAATACAAAAAAAAAAAAATGCACAGAGGAGTACCCAAAACATTCAGTTAAGTATCACTTTTTATTATTGTCCCTAATATCTTATTTATATAAACATGTATATGTACTGTAAACCATTTCTATAGTGTGTACACTGTGCCCATGCAAGTGTTATATTTCTCCTTGGTGAGCTGCAAATAAGAGTTAAGGTAAAAAAGAAAGCAACCCAAATGGATAGATTTTAAAATGGCATTTAAACATCCTTCCTCCGTTCAAAGGTGAGCCTTGTTAAGTGGACAGTATGGATGGGATGGGCGGAGTAGGAATCAGAAGAGGAATTTACTGTACAGAAGACAAGGTTATCAGTTACCAGAAGAAACATAATGAGTTCCCAAACATATTCAGGAGAAACTGTGTGACTTAGCCAGACCTGACGGAGATGCAGAACAGAGCAGGGGGTAGAACAGCAGGTGGTTTGCATTCTCGACAAGAGCCCAGCAAGTCTAAGAGTAAAGGCATGGGTCATAGTTGAGCTGGCAGGGTCACCCCTCCTGGTTACCCTGGCAACCAGCTCCGCCCCTTCTGAGCCGGTGATGAGGATCAAGCAGAGTCCTAGGCAGAGGCAGGGGTTCTGCCTGGGGAAGAGTCTTGGGAGGGTTTTGGAGTTTTGTGCTCAGAGGGCTGAGGTGTGAAGAGAAAGAATCTGATGTGAATATGCCAATGGCTCCTTAAGGCCATTGAAATAAGGAAAACGTAAACTCCAGTTCCTGGGTTACAGCGCCACATTTCCAGTGTTTGATAGCTACACGTGACTGGTGGCTACCAATCCAGATGGTGCAGACAAAGGACATGTTCATCACAGCAGCAATCTCTACTGGACAGCGCCAGTCTAGAAAGCCACGTAGCGTGATGATGATGATTATGACAACAGTAAATGACTTAGGAGCTTCCAGTCAGTGGGCCCTGGCAGCCCCAGTCACAGGTGAGCAGACTTCAACTTCGAAGTCTGTTTAAAAGAGAAAATCTTTCCTGGTGATAAATACAATACTTAATTCTGTATAGGAATTTTGGAAAGTACTGAAAAATTCACAGAGTACATCACCCTGGTTTCATCCAAAATTACATACTGATTGAATTTTGGAGGTTTTCCCATCTTTTATTTATATATAAAATATATACCTTTTACCCACATTCTTTCCTGTATGGTCTTAAATTCACTTTTATACCAGGTAAGACTGGTTCCGTACCCCCTCTGCCTCCTCTACCAGGACTGGATATACACCACCCTCATCTGTCCCTCTGGGCTCCATCTCCCTTTCTCTCTTTAACAATCATCCCCTCCTGGAAGATACTTTATTTTCTAGATGTTTCCATCAGATCACTGAAACGATAGGCCCAGGAATCATTCTCTGTCCTCAGGATGCTCTGACTTCACTCCAGGTAGAACATTCATTGTGCCCATTACTACTAAGTCCTGGGCTGGTGGGGCGGGGCAGTACACGTGTGTTCCCCTCTCAGCCTTGTGTGTAGGGACTATCAGGAATGAGATGGCCTTGAACATCAGCTCCAGCAGCATATTCTCAGAAATCACTAAAACAGAAGCTGTAAAAATAAGTAAAATTTAAAAGAAAAATCAACATTCATAAGGAACGTGTAAATTAAACATGGAAATATATTTTGGAATGTACAAGAATGCTATCAACAAAACTTGTGGGATGCAGTTGAAACATTATATAGGAAGAAACAGTCTCTGAATGCACTTTTGGGAAAATAACAAGAATGGAAAGTAATGAACTAAATGTTCAAGTAGGAAAAAACACAATAAACTAAAAGGAAGAATGTGATAAAAAATAGAAAATAGAAATGAATGCTGAAATTAATGTAATATAAAACTAGGTGATGAGCAAAACTAATTGACAAATCCCTGGCAAGACTGGTCAGAAGGCGGGGAAAAGGACAGTTCAGATTAGAAATTAAAAGGGTCATCAACAATCTTATGGCAGTAAACTTGAAGACTTATATAATTGGACAATTTCATTGAAAAATATAAATTACTGTGGGAAAATGGGCTAGGACAGCAGTGATCTGTTGGCGGAGACAGTGCTCAGGGACACACGATGCTGCTTCCCCCGCAGTGAAACTGCAACCTTGCTGGTGCTGCATTTGGCCTGAGAATCAGCAATACCCAGAAATCTGCGTATGTGTAGTCTCTTCCTGCTTCTCAAATGTTGCAGGTACCAAAGCTGAATCAATAATAGAAAACACGAATATAACAAGAAACAGAATCTCTAATTGGAGATCTCCCCTCAAAAAAGGCCCCAGGCCCAGATGGTTGGCTTAAACAACAGACATTTATTTCTCGCAGGTCTGGAGGCTGGAAGTCAAGATCCAAATCAAGATGTCAGCGTGGTCAGATCCTTGTTGAAAGCCCTCTTCCGGGCTTGCAGATGGCTGCCTTCTTACTGTACTCCCACCGGAGCCAGGCAGGAGGGACTGAGCACTAGCTCCAGGGTCTCTTATTACAAGGGCACTAATCCCATCACGAAAGCACCACCCTCATGTCCTAATCTAAACCTAATTACCTCCAAACACCATCGCAGTGGGAGGTTAGGGATTCAACATAATAATTTTGGGGAAGATAAACCTTTACTCCATAATAACATATGGTATACAATATACAAAAATAGTAGAAGAGGAAACGCTAATCATTTTATGAGTCTAGTATAACCTAGATACCAAAATTTAATAGGGACTGTACAAGAAAAAGCACTGCAGATCAGTCTCCATCATATAAATGCAGAAATCCTGAATAAAATGATACTAATCAAATATATAAAAGCAAGGACTTTTAAAAAGGCATCATGTTTCTGGGACATGCATCAAAATAATAAAGGATGGGAGCACAGTGGGGACATAGTTGGGATATAATATAAAACGAGATTGAGTTGAAAATTGTTGAAGCTCTATTATGAGTCCATCAAAGTTTGTTTTGTACTATTTAGTCCGCTTTTGTAAGTTTGAAATTTTCATTAATAAAAGGGTGGTGGTGGTGTTTTTTAATGCACTACAGCCAATGAGTATTTACCCCAGGAAGGAAAACGTGTCTCAGGAGGATGTCTTTGAAACACTGCAGGATATCCAATGTCAATTTCCTCTGCCTTGGCTTTGGAAAAATATACACTCCTCACAACGCTTTTATCCGACTGGAGTTTTAGTCCAGGGGCGTTGAAGGAAGGGCAGCTGACCTGAGGGTCTCCGTGAATACCTCCCTGCATTTGAGATCAGAGACACCTAGAGAACCATGCAATACAACAAAAGATTTGTAATCATATGAGAACCAGGGAAAACACATATACAACAGGGAACTGAGATGGGGGAGATATAGACTGGTATTTGGGGGCAGTATTACCGCGAAAAGAGCCCCTGATGCCTGAACCAGGAAAATGTTTCTGTGCTTAATTGCCCAGTGACTTGACCCTCAGCCTTGTGCTTGGCCTACTTCTCAAAACCACTGAGATCTCCCTGAACTTAACACTGATGAAGATTAACTAGGTTTCTGTACAAACGATACCTGGAAAAGTCACTTTGTGTCTGCTTTAATTTCAGGACAGGATTCCATGGCTTTGCCACTTGCATGAAATTTTACTAAGGTAAGAGCATCAGGCCTTGGCATAAGCCAGCCAGTAAAGACCACCCACCTTTCAAGTACAGGGGAAAAATAGAGTCTTGGAATCACAACTGATTGATGATACAGGATCCCAGAAATGCAATGTTTTTTTATCAAATAATCAACAATGATTTTAATCAGCCACAGCTGTACTCGTATAGTCTAGTTGGGTTCTGGAGACAAAACTAGACAACTCCACAACTACTAGCTGGGAATCTTAGCCATTTGGCTTCTATGAGCCTGTTTGTTCTTTTAAAAAGGGGGTTAAAAAGTTCCTACTCACAGAAGAATTCACAAGATGAAGCATGAGTAGTACTTAGAACAGTATCAACATGTTAAGTGCTTGAAGATGTAGCACGCTGCACGTGAGCCACACCCTGCATCCACAGGAGCCAAGCCAACACTCTCCAAGCACTTAACTGTGCACCCAGCTTGACACACCTTTTCCTTCCCATGGTTCTATGGGCAGGTCCTCTGTGTAGCCCCATTTAGCAGATGATGAACTGGTGGTCAGAGAAATACATACCTTGCCCAAGATAGTTCAGTTCACTCATTCACTCATGGAAGATCTTTACCTCAAAACCAGGACTCCCTGAAAGTTGACTGCCATTCCATAACACCTTCCACTTGCAGGGAAGTAGTACTCGACTCAACCTAGAATTGACATCTAGTATTTTAAGTGTCTTCATTCTTTAGTACTTCTTCTTCCTCCCCTGCTTTTTTTTTTTTTTTTTTTTAAACAGAGATGTGGCCTCAGGACACCATGTGGTTCTAGCCTGTTCAGCTCTGAAGAAAGTGTACAGAAACATCTTAATACAAGGAAAAGATGGTGCACTCATGAAGGATGATGAGCCAGGGAAGGAAGGAAAGCTGGCTGAGGTGAAGCTCCTTGTGGTCCATCTGAGTGGGTCATTTGAGGTCATCTCTGAACGCTTACTCAAAAGAAAAGGACATTTTATGCCCCCTGAGTTACTGCAGTCCCAGTTTGATACTCTGGAGCCCCCATCAGCTCCAGAAAATTTCATCCAAATCAGTGTGGACAAAAATCTTTCAGAGATAATTGCTATAATTATGAAAGCTCTAAACTGAAACGTAAGTCATTGCATAGCAGCGGTCCAGAATGGAATTAGCCATGAGTTTCTATCCTACCCAGACCATGTTCCAGCATCCTTGCTGGTACTGTATCCTAAATTCTAACTCAGGTGAACCAACCACGATGTGTTGAGATGTATTTGTTTGGGTGTAATTTTAGGTATTTGTGATACTCTTGTCATGCTCTGGCACAAGAGGAGAAGGAAAGTAAATCTTCAAATTGAAATTCATGTGACCCAATCAGGTGGTCAGAGAATATTATATAATCAATGCTGAAATCATTATCTTATTTATAACAGTCGATCATGCTGTATTCTGACAAATAAATAAAACTCGACTATCCTTGGAAATTGGTTTTGGGAGCAGAAATGTGTCCAAATTCAACCACTCACCAGCAAGTCACTTCACATACTTCCTAATCCCCTGTCCTTGGGTCCTTTCAAGATAAGTAAATTGAAAAGCACATGTAGTCCACAGATACAAAAAACTGCAAAGATGGAACTCGGAGTGAAGAAGAGTAGGACTCGCTGACCCAGTCTTGCCCGTCTCCTTTTTATAGAGGCCTCTGAGGCCAGGCTGGTGTCAGCCCACTTGCTCTCCTCCTGTAAAAGCCATCTGTGATAGACCCCAGGCATGGAAGGAACACCTGACCTGCTACGGCCAAGACACGAAACGAAACCTTCCGATGAGCGGCCGTACGCCAGTGGCAGCACGGGAGGTTGGAGAGGCTGGGGTGTCGCTGGCACGCAGCTTGCAGGGCACCGCCTAGGGAAGCTGCGCTGCGGCTGGCACGGGCGGGGCTTGAGCCCATCCCGCGAAGGGCTCCAGGAAAATGCTTCCTTATTCCTCTATCCTACCCAGGGCCCTAGGACCTAGCACTCTACAGGGCTACTGGTTGGCTCGGGCCAGAAATTGAGTTTGGAACCAATTCACTGTTTTCCTTCACAAGGCCATGCAGTTTTTGTCCCCGGAACTACAAGTAGAACACCTGCACAGGGTGCCAGGGATTGTCGGGGCTCTTCTGGGTGTGTGGAGTTTACCTTAGAAAATGTGGAGCCCTGGATTTTCTTCTCTGGCCGAATACTTGGGGCATCTCCTGCCTGGCTTCAGTTTACATCAACCTTCCTATTTACGGTGCAGTCAACATACTCCAGCTGGATGAGAGTCACCCCCAGCCATCGGGAAGGGCTCAGCCTGTCCACTGTCCTCAGCAAATCCACACTGGGCACTGTGATGGGCACTCTGGAGGGTTTGAGGACCTGCACACAAAGCCGTGGCTCTCAGGTGGCTTAACTTTGTGGTGGAAATACAGGGCATCTCATCTCCTCTGGTACAGGCTGGAGTTCTAAGTGAAGACAGTTCTTCATGCCAAAAAGAATTGGTTTTCAAAAATCCCGCTGGACACTCATGTAGGACCAAATGAAAAAACCTGTTTATAATTGTAAGAGCACAGGATCTAACTCTATTTTATAAATAGAATTTTTTTTTTTTTGCAGTTTTAATAGTCACTGAAATGTCCAAGAATGTAATAAAGGGACAATTTTATTCCATTTTATTTTTTTTAATAAAAGTTATCATTTCAGAAGAACCACATTGCATTTGTCATGAATGCAACACACCAACACCTCCCTGCATTTGTAATTCTTCATTCACAGTAATCCACGGATGGGCACAGACACTCAACTACTCCATCATGTTTGTCTAGTGTAGCCATTGCATATTGAAGTCCATTTGTTTATTACATATTACTTTTCCTTTTTTGTCCTTTAGTGTTAAGGCCTCATATGTATTATTTGCTTAGGTAAGCTTTATTACAGGGGACATTAGAAAATATTAATAGTTGTTGTTTTAAAAAGGCATTGAGTCTGGCGGTGTTGAGTACTACTGCTGCTCTCTTCCCAAGGCGGGCTGCCGGGAGGCCAAGGTGTGAGTAAGTACTGCCCTCTGGTGGCCCAGGCGGACACGGCAAGCACAAACTGCTCTCCCAGTCGTAAGAACCACTCCAAGCAGCCAAGGGTCATGTCTCTGGGTCAAGGGCAGTGCAATGCTGCTCCCCACCCAGTCCTGACCACACCCGTGCCCAGTCTCTATGAACTGGGAAGAAGGGGAAGGTGAGAACTGTTTGAAATGGCTCCAAATAGATGTCAATGAAAGATCTCCCCAACCCTGCAAATACCACCTACCACCCCCTGTGGCAGGACTCTCCACCTTGTCCCCCTCCACTGGAGAAAGTTCGGGTTAAATGTTTCCCTATTATAAAGTAGGGATACTTCTTGTCCCAGAAGACTGTGATAACTGAGGTAATACTTGCAAAGGGCTAGAACTAAAACCTGACATACAAACTACCCAACAAACATTAGCTTTTGCCATACTTATCCCCTGGGGTCTGAGGGAGTGTGGCATAGGACAAAAACTCCCACTCCTGTTATTCCGACTGTGGGGGAACTTATGAACCCCTTCTAGGTTTGTTTTAAGTCTTCCTTCTTAATCACTACCAAGGTCTCCTTCCACCCCTCTCCACCCCTTGACCAGATCAAATCAGATGTTATAGCAGTATTATTCACAATATCCAAATGAGGTTGGTGTCCATTAAAGATTAATGAATAAAATGCAGTATATCCACACAATGGAGTATCAGTCAGCCATAAAAGGAAGCACTAAACACATGCCACAAGGATAAACCATGAAAACAGGCTAAGTGAAAGAAGCCACACAGAAAAGGCCACATAGTACACAATTCCATTTATATGAAACATCCAGCCCTGGCTGGCGTGGCTCAGTGGATTAAGCACCGACCTGTGAATCAAAGGGTCACTAGTTCGATTCCCAGTCAGTGCACATGCCTGGGTTGCAGGCCAGGTCCCCAGTAGGGGGCGCTCGAGAGGCAACCACACATTGATGTTTCCCTCCCTCTCTTTTTTTCCTCCCTTCCCCTCTCTCTAAAAATAAATCAATAAAATCTTTAAAAAGAAAAAAGAAACACCCAGAATATATAAATCCAGAGTCAGAGAGCAGACTAGTGGTTGCCAGGGGCAGGGTACAGGGGTAAATAGTGAGTAATTGTTTGAGGGCTACAAGGTTTTCTTTCTGGGTGGTGAAAAAGTTCTGGTCGATTATGGTGGTTGCAGGACACTGTGGATGTACTTCAAAATGGTTAAAATAGTGAGTTCTGTTACATCCATATTAGCACAATTCTTAGCAAAAAAGAGAACCACAAGAGCTGAGTCTAACTCACTAACCTTATTCCCATACGCTAGGACAGCTGGCTAGATTGGGTTGTGGTTCTGAGACAGGTTACCTAATAACTAGAGAGTCTGAAATACAAATGTTAACATGTATGAATTGGAATTACCGCCTGAAGGTATGCTTCGTCACACCGTCCCAGCTCTGGAAGAGCTCTCACACACATTATGTTTAATCTCACTGAAGCCAAGATGTTGGGAGGGGGAGGCTGTCTCTCCACTTCCGAAAGGGCTGAACACAAATAGTAGTTCAGATGGGCTGGGAAGAAAGACACCGCTCCTACTGACACAGAAAGGCAGCTCTGAGCTAAGAAAAAGGAACCTTTCTCCCTCACACTTCAGCTTGTGTAAAGAAGTGCTTGCTTATTCATCTATTTATTTATTAAACCTATTCTGGGGATCAAAAGCTAGTGGTAACTGCTTTCCCTTTGTATTTTTGGCTAGAAAGCAATTACTTCATACTCTCCCCCCAAATCAAGTCCCTCTCTCAACACAGATCACTGCCATTAGAATACAAACGCACCATATACAGGGTAGGGCAAAAGCAGGTTTACAGTTATTCACGTGGAAAGTAATATAATAGTTAATAAATAATAAGCTTGCACACACAACTGTAAAACTACTTTGGTCCCACCCTGTTTAGTACTTCCCATCTTAAAAGATGGGTACTATGCCATCACCACTACCCCCATTTCTGATTCTCTTTACTTGAAAACGAATACCTCCTTGGTCCATTCCAACCAGAGTTTTACCCTCATCACACTATGAAACCTCTATCATAGATGACAGTCCTTCCTTTTATTAAATCGATAGTTTAATACCCAATCCGCAAGAAGCATCTGAAGTAACAGCATTTAATATAGTTCACTGACCACCTTTATCCTTGACAAGAGGTCTCTTCACTTGCTTTCAAGGCTGTTCTTGGTTTTCACCTTCCTACCAGCCTGTTGATCTTCTTTGTTGGCTTCTCTAACCCCCTCAAACATTGTTAGTAAACCAGGGCTCAACCTTAACAAATGTGTTTATCAACCTTCTTCCTCTAAAATTCACTTAGTCTGGAATTCTCAGCCTTGGCACTATCAACATTTTGCTGTTAGATTTTTGTACTACTTCTTAAAATCTGTATACTTTTAATTTTTAAAAATTTCAACCATTTCCCCTTCTTCCTCCCCACTTTTGCAACCATAAGCCTGTTCTCTAAATCTATGGATTAATTCATTTTTTTTAGATTCTACATGTAAATGAAATCAGTTTTTTGTCTTTCTTTGACTTATTTCACGTAGCATACTACCCTTTAAGTCCACCCCTGTTGTTGCAAAGAGCAACATTTCATTTTTGATTGCTCAGTAATACTCTATTTTATATGTACACATCTTTATCCATTCATCAGTGGACATCTAGGTTGCTTCCATAGCTCGGCTATTGCAAATAAGGCTGCAATGAACATAAGGGTACATATGTATTTTCAAATTAATGTTTTTGTTTTCTTCATATAAAAGCCCAGAAGTGATATTGCTGGATTGTACGGCAGCACTATTTTTAATTTTTTGAAGAATAGCCAGTTTCCCATACTGGCTGCACCAATTTGCAATCCAACGAACAGTGTAAGAGGGTTCCCTCTTCTCTACATCCTCACCAACACTTATTTGTTGATTTTTTGATGACACCCACTCTGACCAGTGTGAGGTGTCCTCTCATTCTGCTTTTAATTTGCATTTCCCTGATGATTAGTGATGCTAAGCATCTTTTCATGTCTGTTGGCAATCTGTATGTCTTCTTTGGAGGAATATCCAAGTCCTCTGCAATTTCTTTTATTGTTTAGGGTGTTTTGGTGTTAAGTTGTATGAGTTCCTTATATATTTTGGATACTAACCCCTTATCGGATGTGTCATTTACAGATACCTTCTTTCACGTAGGTTTTCTTTGTTTTGTTGGTTTCCCTCACCATGCAAAAGCTTTTTAACATGATATACAAGGTCTGCCTGGAAAAAAATCCAGCCATTATTAATATAATGTCAATGGTTTGTGCAAGACCGATGGAACCTGGCAGCCAAGGAGAGTGGATAGGAATGCGCATGCGTGAACAATGACTTCACTGAACTTGTCAGTGGGGACAGTTGATGCTGAGTGAGCATGCATATTGGGGTGGCTGTCACATTCAAAACAAGAGTACAGCAAGGAATCTGCATTAAATTTTGCATTAAGTTTGAACATTCCTCCAGAGAAACGCCTTGCAATGATGCAGAAGGCCGCGGCTATGGGCAGCTGGTGATCAGCAGCTTCATCACAACATGCACACTCATGCATCATGTCTTGTGCAGAGGTTTTTGGTGAAACATCAA